ACGTTGTTCGTTAAATTCCCTCCATTGATTTTCTAAACGAGTTCGTTCCCTTTCCAAGTTCGAAACTATCTCTGGTGTCACATCAGGAACGAATTTTGAACTCATTCCTCCGCGATTTACCTTATTTCCACCTCCGGACATTGTTCCAGATTTGTCAATAAGCTGTCCGTCCAACGTTACCACACGCCACCGCTGTCTTCCGTATGCAATCCGACTGGCCTGTTGTAAGTTTTCTGCAACAAGAGTATTTTGTAAAGCCTTATAGAATGCTGGTGCAAATTTTTTCTCTTTTGGTCTAATGAGGTCAAAAAGACGAGGAACTCCCTCAGGCGTTTGAATTGGGCTCATATCCATAGAGGAAAGCTGCTGCAAAAGAATGAACTGAGCACGACCTAGATTATTTTTTCTCAGATATTCTATACAACTTTGACCGACTTCAACTGAATCAACTACAATATTGTCTAATGCTTGACATGCAGTAGAAACTGCAATATCAAATTTGTCATCGATAACACCGAGATTACCTAATCGATCCTTAATACATAAAAAATGTTATATAAAATGTTAAATAAGCAAATAATGCAAAAGCGTATAGCCGATACTCATAAGCGAATTAACGAATTACGGTAAGGAGATTTAGGTGTATATTTGTACCAATAGAGTAAATGATAATCTTACTTGATTTCAGCCAACAAAACAAGCCGAATGTTGAAGATGGAAAACGAATGCAGAAAATTTTGATAGAAATAGAAAAATTGACTACAGAGTTGGAAGGCTTGAAAAGTCAATCTTCAAAAATTGAAGACGAGATTAAAATGTTGCACGAACAAATTTTGCAAGCCGGTGGAGATAAGCTTCGGAGTCAGAAATACCAAGTTGATTCAATAAAGGAAAAGATAGGAATGATTAATGACAGAATAACCGCCTCACAAGTCGCCAAATCTAAGGCCGAGAAAGATGTATTAAAACTTGAAAATTCGATTGCCAAGAATGAAAACGAAACGGAACAATTGAAACAAGAGTTAGAGCAACTCGAAGTTGATATTAGACAAAAGGCCGAAATTGCGCGTTCGATCAGTGATCGATCTAATGAAGCGAGAAGGGTATTGATTTACAAATACTTTAAATAAATATTATAAATATTGCACATATCAACTTTACAATTTTGTTTCCATACATTATTAGGTCTTGGATGATAAAAAGGAGGAATTAGATGAAATTAAAACAGAACTTGATGAGAAAACAGAGATAATCAATCAAATTAGGGCTGTTGAAGTATGTTTAATTACTTGTCATCGTTCGTCTTTACAGCAAACAAATTGATTTATAATTATCAATTATTTATAGGTAGAGATAAGAAACAAACTCGAAGACTGTGAACGAACTTTGGCGGAAAACAAACAAAAAGAAAATCATTGGCTCGGTTTACTTAGCAAACTTACTCTTCATGAAATTGGGTATGAATATAAAAATTAAAGAAAGTTCATTATAAAAAAATTATTCACATATTTATATTTATTGTGTATTAGAAATGAGCCGAGGCCCGAATTTCAAACATATACAGATGATGAGCTTTTAGCAATGGATAAAGAAACTTTAAAGAACGAAATAGAGTCGCTCAATGGTATGAATTGGTAAAGCGTCATTTGTTCACGAGTTATTAAATTAAAATGATTAAAACGATGGTAACAAATTATATAGCGAAGATACAAGATGCTAATCCTAACCTCAATGTTTTGTTGGAATACCGTCGATGTGAGGAGGAGTATACATCACGTGTAAAAGATCTTGAAGAAGTAACGTCAATTCGTGATGAATGCAAAAGGCAGTATGATGAATTGCGTAAATTGCGGTTGGAAGAATTTATGCATGGGTTTAATTTAATTTCTCAGAAGCTCAAAGAAATGTATCAGGTACATAGATTTGTTGACAAAAAGTTTTAAAGGAATTTATTTATTTACAGGAGCATCTTTCTAGATGATTACGCTTGGTGGGAACGCCGAACTTGAGTGTTGTGATAGCCTGGACCCATTTTCCGAAGGTATCATATTCAGTGTAATGCCTCCAAAGAAAAGTTGGAAAAATATTTCTAATCTATCTGGTGGAGAAAAGGTAATCATCCTCATTTGATCAAATTGCAAAAGAAAAGAGACATTTAACGAATAGGTGGTGAAATTTTATAGACACTAAGTT